CATCAATGTCAACAGCATTAACAGCATCATCATCAGCAGCATCATCATCACCACAACCACCACCACCACGAGCATCATCATCGCGATCACCATCACCACCATCATGATCATCATCAGCAGCACCATCATTATCAGTAGAGGTCTTCTCATCCGCATCATCACCATGCTCATCAGCATCCTCATCATCATCATCATCATCATCAGCATCATCATCATCATCATCATCATCATTCGCATCATCATCAACATCATCACCATCGCCGTCGTCGTCATCACTTTCAGCATCACCACCACCATCATCATCATGCTCTTAATCATCACCATCATCATCATCATCATTATCATTATCATCATCATCATCATCATCATCATGATGATCAACATCATCAGTAGCATCACCATCGGCGTTGGCGTTGGCATCGGCATCATCAGCATCAGCATCAGCGTCAGCGTCAGCGTCAGCGTCAGCGTCATCATCATCATCATCATCATCATCATCATCATCATCATCATCATCATCATCGTTATCATCATCATCATGACCATCATCATCAGCAGCACCACCGTCATCATCCGCCATTATCAACATCGTCACCTTCATCCCCCGCCTCTCGCGCCAGCGGTGCCGCATCCTCCCTCCGCCTCCGGCCTCCCCCCTCCAACGCCCTGCGCGCGCTGGGGCTGTGCGCGGGGAGGGGAGGGGGAGAGAGAGGGAGGGAGGGGGTGGGAGAGGAACGGACAGGACGAGGAGGGGGAGGAGGAGGGGGCGGGGACAAGGGTGGGTTGGGGTTGGGAGGAGGAGGTGGAGGAGGAGGTGGAGGAAGAGGAGGAGGAGAAGGAGGAAAAGGAGGAGGAAGTGGAGATCCAGCAACAGGAGGGACGGAGGGCGGAAGTGGTGGAAGGGGGAGGGAAGAGGATGCGGCAGGCACTTCGGCTCAGCGTGCGGCTCGGCTGGTCCTGGCCCGCCGCGCTTCGGCGCGACACGCTATATCCACGCCCCGGCTCCCAAGCGTCAGCGTCCCTAGCTTTGCCCAGCGTCCATGTCCATGTCCACGCGTCGACGTCCAAGCGTCAGCGTCAACGTCCACGGAGCGACGCAGCACGCTATCCGCTCGAGTGGCAGCGTGTCGCCGAGCGCAACTTTCTGGGTGCTCCGCGTGCCGGCCGCGGGGGCGCGGGTGAACTTGCCGCGCGCCACCGCGTGCGCGCCCGCCGAGCAGAGCACGCGCGCCTTCCGTCCTCGTCCTCCTCGTCTTCCACTTCGTCCTCCTGCTCGTTCACTGGGGTGTCCCTGGTGGTCTGATTGTCGTCAGCGTGTACATGGTTCAGGGCATCGGCATCACTGGGGCAAACCTCTCGATCCTTTGGGCGCTTGCGAAGCGCGTGGCTGCGTGGAACGCACGCGGCCTCGACTGGATCACCGGGGGTGACTGGAACGCCGACGGCAAGAGCATCAACATTGGCGACTGGGTTGGGTCCTTTGCAGGCACTCTCCTCCAGCCGTCGGCCTCTTACGTGCGTCACTTCCAATGGACTTTCCACCATCGACTACTTTTTGATGGCCAGCTATCTCGCGTCCCGAGTCTCATTACCCTGTGGGTCTAGAGCTGTGCGGGAAGGACGCGCCGACGGGGTGCCGCGTCCCCGATGAGCCTCGACCACTGCCTGCTGCACCCCATGCTGGCTGTGTTCGTGTCCCCCTTTTCTTGGCCTACCATGGATAGCCTATTTGGCCGAGCAGCCACCGCGCCGCTTAGGGTTGCTGGCGCGGACCATGTCCAGTCCAGGCCTGATCGGGACCGATGCAGGTCCGTCGGTCACTGAGGTCCATTCGGCAAACACTTAGCGAGATCGATCGGGACGCGCGGCCCAACGTTATCGCCGTCGGGCGTGGGCCCATGGACAGGCCGTCGGCGAGACAGGTACACCCGATGAGGTCTTGCAACAGCTCCGGGACTCCGTTCTGCAGGGTGTTGATTACGAGATCGCAGGCAAGCGCGACAAAGTTGGTCCTGGAGCTAACCGCTTCGTCGGGCACCACGCCCCCCCCCAAGGTAAGTGGCGGCAGTTGCGGTGGGATCCACCTCGCAAGCGGCTGTACCACGACACCACAGTCTGGGTTTGGGCTACTGCGGCACGCTGGGCGATTCACCTTCGTGCTGAGCGTGATCGGGTCCAGTGTTTTTGTCACGGGTTGAATGCCTTGGCGGCGCATGCGTCTGGTACGACATCTTCTGTTTCCTGAGTTCCATTGCTGGGCAGGACAACGTCCTCACCAACATCGACCCCTGCTACCGCCAGTGCTTTTTTGCGTGGGCTGGACGGGCTGATTGCGGAGGACTTTGATGACACGGTCGATGCCATCGTGGGCCGCGCGGAGGACCTCACTGCTGCGGCTCGCGGCGCGTCGGAGAGACCATGGCGCAGCTGGGCTCAGGCGGCCTTCAATGGGGGAGCGAAGGCTGCCCATGCTGCATCCAAGGTCAAGGCGCAGCAAGAGCTCGTTGCCCCTGAGGCCGGCGCCCATACATCCTCGCGGACCGCATCCTGGACGTGTGGAAGCGGATCTGGGCGACCCATGGGCTGGAAGAGCTGCCTCTACCCACGGATGCGCCTGCTTGGGAGGAGCTGCCTAGCCTGACGGCCCATGACCGAAGGCAGGCCATCCGATCGTTCTTCTCGTCGCTGCCTAGGGGCCCACCCGCATTCCACCGAAGGCGCTCGAGCACCTATCAGATGAGGCTCTCAGGAGGTTGGCCCAGATGTTCGAGGTGTTTGAGCAGCACTTACGGTTTCCCCCAGGCCGCGTGCATAGCGAGATGGCCCGTCTCCCTAAGCCTGATGGTGGCCACAAGCTGATTGTGCTTAGCCATGCTCTCATACGAGTTTGGGCGAAAGCACACCGATGGTTGTCGGCAGAATGGCAACGACTGCGTCATTGCGACGAGATGTGGGGTACTCGAGGAAGCCACACATCCACGGCCCCGGCTTTCGCTCGCAATTTGGAGCAAGATGTGGGAAGCCTCATAGGCGATTTCACTTGTACCATCCTCTTGGACATGGTGGAATGCTTTGACATGGTGAGTCCCCATGCGCTCATGCGGGAGGCACGGGAGCTGGGTTACCCGATGCGCCTGCTCTGGATGTTGTTGCAGCTCTACCAGCAGCCACGGCGCATCAAGGCGTGCGGCAGCCTCTCGAGCTCCTTCGTCGCCTTTCAGGGGGTGCTGGCGGGGTGCACACATGCCACCTACCTCATCTACCTGCCGACGCACCGTGTCCTCCAGCGGGCCAGCAGGGTTGCGCCGACCATCGAGCCACGTTCGTTGGTGGACGACATCGGCCTGCAGGTGGTCTCCCCCGACCCAGATCATGCGCGACCCAAAAATTTGGGTAGCGAAACGCAATCTCGGTCGTTCCGCGACCGACCAGATTTTTCGGTCGCGAGTACCGGTCGCGACCGGTCGCGACCGTCGGTCGCTACCGGTCGCGACCGGTAGCGACCGATCAAGACCACAGCGGAGATCAAGGGTAGCGACCGATCAAGACCACAGCGGAGATCAAGCCCACAGTGGATAGTGGATCGACTGTGATATCGATACTTCAGCCGAGTCGTTCAGATCGATAGTGCGTTCGATGAGGCCACTCAGTATTCAGTGAGATTGTTGCTATAGTTATTCAATGCAGATAGATAGTGATACTGATAGGTACGTAGGTAGGTAGTGAGATCTATAGGTCGATATGCGATAGGTGGATAGTGATATCGATAGGTAGGTCGTGAGATGGATAGTGATATCGACAGTGAGATAGTCCATAGGTGAAGCCAATAGTGAGATGTGAGATCGATAGGTTAGTAGATTCGGTGAGATCGGTCAGAGGAGGAAGGGCGAGGAGCAGGAGGGGGAGGGAGGGAGGCAGAGGGGGAGGGAGCAGAAGCAGGATAAGTAGGAAGGAGGAGGACACCAGTTGTCCCCTCTCCCTCGCTCGCTCGCTCGCTCCTCCTCCTCCTCCTCCTCCTCCTCCTCCTCCTCCCTCTCCTGATCTGCCCTTCTCCTCCTCCCCCTTCTCCTCCTTCTCCTCCTCCTCCTCCTCCTCCTCCTCCTCCCCCTCCTCCTCATCCTCCTCATCCTCCTATTCCTCCTCATCCTCCTATTCCTCCTCCTCCTCCTCCTCCTCCTCCTCCTCCTCCTCCTCCTCTCCTCCTCCTCCTTTCCTCCTCCTCCTCCCCCGCCTCAGTGGTGAGCAAACTGGAGCCTCGCCGCCTAATTATCACCACCATCCTCCGCCTCCTCTTCATCAACCTCCGTATCCACCTCCTTCTCCTCTTTCCCTCCTCCTTCTCCTCCTTCTCCTCCTCCTCCTCCCTCTCTTCCTCCTCCTCCTCATCGTCATCCTCCTCATCCTCCTTCTTCCCCTATCCTCCTTCTTCATATCCTCCTCCTTTTCCTCCTCTTCCTTCTCCTCCTCCTCCTTCTCCTCCCCCCACTCCTCCCCCTACTTCCTATCCTCATCCTTCTCGTCCTCCTCCTTGGGCCAAGGGGCCGTTAGCCGTGGGCCCTTGGGTTGTCGCTTCCCTGGGCCCGTGAGCCATTTTGGCACGTCCTCGGCCCAGAGGACGCCCGACAGGCTCCGCGCGGGAGCCATGGCCTCCCGCGGCCCATCCCCTTCGCGGGCCCTGTGGGCTCAACCGCCGCTGCGCCGCCCAGCGGCGCCGCTCGGCGGCGGCCTCCAGAAGGCCTTGCTGAAGTTGGTCGTGGAGCGCGGCTCCACGAACACCTTCGACCTGGGCCACTATGACTGGCTCACGAAGGACAAGGCCGTCCACGCGCCGTCGCTCGCGGCCAACCCCGAGTTGGTTGGCGGGCGTTGATGAAAGGAAACAAGGGGGCAAGAGAGGGTGAGAAGAATTCCTCCCAACCTCCTCTTCTGTTCCGCTCCTTCCCCCTGCTCCTCTCCCTCGATCCTCCGTGTTCCGTGGCCATGTTTTAGGCTGTAGCGCCATGGCGCAGGCGTCGTGCCTGGTCATTCAGCTCGGCGGGGGCGACGCGCCCCCTGGCCTCGGGGAGCCATGGCGCGTCATGGAGGTCGGGGACGTCCCCCCTGGCCTCCCCCAGCGGCAGTACCGCAACCGCCAGGGCGTCAAGACGACCAAGCCCTTCAGGAGCTGGATCGAGCCCATGCTCCAGCAGGCTTCGCCCCGCCAGTGGGCCGCCTGCCCCGACGTCATCGCTGTGGTGCCTGCTGGCCCACTGGAAGGCGGGCCGTGGCCCCCCTCCTGGCAGATAGATGCTGGGTGGGAGCCAGGGCAGCCCGCCCTCACCCTCACGCCCGACTACCCCATGTACATTTCCATGGTGTGGTGCGAGGACGGGCACCAGCGGACCCAGCGGTACCGCCGAGTCCCCGAGCTGCAGTACCGTCACTACTATGCGAGAATGTGACGGTTGTGTGGGGTCGAAAATCCTCACCCTCCTCGCCTCCTCCCTCGTCTCCTCCCATCTTTCCTTCCTTCCTCCCTCGCACGTTCGTCCCGCCCTCCCCCCCTGCCCCCTCCTTCCTTCCTCCGCCACTCCGCCGATGGCGATGGCGACGACAGCGCGTGACAATGACGGCCGATGCCGATGATGACAGCGCTGAGGGGATGAGGAGGAGGAGGAGGAGGAGGGGGGGAGGAGGGGGAGGAGGAAACAGGAGGAGAAGGAAACACGAGGAGGAGGAGGAGGAGGAGGAGGAGGAGCAGGAGGAGGGGGAGGAGGAGGGGGGGAGGACGTTTCCACGGGGAGTCGCAGACAGCGGAGGAGGGTGGCGTACCGACAAGGGGAGACGGAGGAAGGAGTTGGACGATGAGGGGGGAGGGGGTCCAGTGAGGATGAGGAGGGGACGAAGATGCTGCCCAATCTGCCCAGATCGAGATCTTGCTGCGGCACGTGCCCGACGCCGAGGCGCGCTGGGCAGAGGTCACGGCGGCGTGCACCGCCGTCCTGGCCAAGTGCCCCCTCACCCCCTCCTCGTTCCAAGCATAGAGGGGGAGGAAGGTTTGTGGTGGTCAAGAGGGCACGGGGAGAACAGGGGAGAACGGAGGGCGCGGGGGACAGGAGAGGAGAGGATGACATTGGGAAGGCTGCAGGAGGATGATGACAGAGGAGAGGAAGGAGGAGGAATGGGGTTTGAGTTCGAGGCTAACCGAACCATCTAGTAGTTGGTTCCCCCAGATATTAGTATCCCACATGGCCCCTGGACAATGTCCAATGGCCATGTGGGCGCCTCCCAATAGGTACCCAAGGGCCTCGCAGGAGCCAGCAGGATCACCAGAGTTCAGGGGCGGCAGCCTGGCCGACAAGGTCAGCTGCATGCTCAAACACCTGCGGCGGATACGGGACAATCCCGTGCGCCTCCGCCAGGTCCCCCCTCAATAAAACCTTGCCCGCCCCGCCATTTGCAGACAGACGACTGGTTGACGTCAGACTGACGTTTTTCAATCGTCGAACTGACGTTTGTCAGACGTCAGTCTGACGTCAGCCCGACGTCAGTCAGACGTCAGCCATACATAATCCTGACGTCAAGCAGACGTCGGCCTGACGTCAGCCAGACGTCGACCTGACGTCAGTCAGACGTCAGTAAAACGTCAGTCAGACGTCAGCCAAACGTCAGCGAAACGTCAGGCAGACATCAGCCAAACGTCATGTCTGACGGTTACACGATGTATGCCTGACGTTTGGATGACGTTTGCCTGACGTTTGCTTGACGTTTGCCTGACGTCTGACTGACGTTTTACTGACGTTTTACTGACGTTTGGCTGACGTCAGGTCGACGTCTGGCTGACGTCAGGTCGACGTCTGGCTGACGTCAAGTCGGCGTCTGGCTGGCGCCAGGTCGACGCCAGCCCGACGGGAGGAAGAGAAAAGAAACCTCATGGTGATAGGGGGCAGGATGACGGTGCCGTGTAAGGGGCACTGGCAGGACAGCGGAGGAGGAACAAGAGGAGGAGAAAGGGTGGGTGGACGTATGTGCCCCTAGAGGCGCTGAGCATCTGCGACCAGGAGCAGGCCGACACGATTCGCTACTACCTGCACTTGATGGGCGTGCAGGTGGCCCAGGTTCCACATCGCACATCAGATGCAACGCCTGCCAGGACTCCTGGGGAAATGGGCCGACGATCAGGAGGACGAGAGAGAGGATGATGATGATGGTGAGGGTTGTTAGTGCGGATGGTGGTGGCAATGAGGATGAGGAGGGTACGGGTTAGGAAGGGGCTGGTGGTGGGAAAATGGAAGACTGGCATCGGCGCCATCCTCATCCACCGCACCCGCTTCGTCCAGTCCTCCCCCGTGTCGACCTCCTCGTCCCCCTCCTCGCCTTAATCGTTGTCATCATCGCCATCCTCCTGGTAAGTCTCGCCCCCCTCCTCGTCATCCCCTTCGTCTCCCTTCTTCGTCCTCCTTCCAACCTCCGCCTACTCATCCGAACTCACACTCGCTCTCGTCGCGCCGATCGCGCGCCTCTCTCGCGGTTGCGACGCCCATATGCCCCAGGAGGCCGAGGTCGTCGCCCGTGAGCGGGCCCAAGCGCAGGCTCGGGTCTGGCTACTACCCGCCCCAGGCCATGCAGGCCTTGTGCGACCGCGACGGCGACCTCTCGACCCAGCGCAACTTCGACAAGGGCCTGGCCGACGACGACGACCTCTCGGACAAGCGCAACTTCATCAGGGGCATGACCGACGACCTCTCGGGCAAGCGCAACTTCGGCAAAAGCATGGCCGATGACGACGACCTCTTCTCGGACAGTGGCAACTTCGGCAAGGGCAGCGGCGACGACGACCTCGCCTCGGACAAGCGCAACTTCGGCAAGGGCAGCGGCGCTGCCGACGACGACCTCTTCTCGGACAAGCGCGACTTCGGCAGGGGCATGACTGACGACGACCTCTCGGACAAGCGCCGCTTCGGCGAGGGCATGACTGACGACGACCTCTCGGACAAGCGCAACTTCGGCCAGGGCATGGCTGACGACGACCTCTCGGACAAGCGCAACTTCGGCCAGGGCAATGACATTGACGACGACTTATTGAAGGACTCTCCCGCTCGGCGGGGAGGGGCATGGAGCAGGAGGAGGAGGTGGATGAAGAGGATAGAGATGATTCGGAGGAGGAGAAGGAGGAGGAGGCGCAGCAACATCAGGAGGGGGATTAGGAGGAGGTTCAGCAACAGCAGGGGGAGGAGGCGCAGCAACAGCAGGAAGAGGAGGATTAGGAGGAGGCGCCGCAACAGCAGGAGACGGGGGCGCAGCAACATCAGGAGGAGGATCATGAGGAACAGGAGGACGATGAGGGTTAGGAGGAGGAGGACTAGGATGATGACGAGGAGGCAGAGGATGGCGATGATGAGGAAGAGAAGGAGGTGAATGGGGGTGAGGGTGATCAAGACGAGGAACGCAAGTGCGAGAAAACCAAATGCCAAGAAGACGAAGATCACGCATGCGAAATTTGAATACACTTCAAATCTCGCGTGCGTGACCGTCGCCTTCCTGGAAACAAAAACTACCGCATGCACAAACCAAACCACACGCAACCAAAAAAACGAATGACCTTAGAACGAAATCTTTTTATACGTTACCGTCATGTTACAAATCCTTAGTCGACCCTGCAACCAACGCTTCAACAATTCACAAACGGGGTGGTATCTACCGTGCCGTCCTGGGCCATCCTGGGCCATCCTGGGTCATCTTGACATTGTTCGGTGCGTATCGTGTCATATTGTGGCCCTCTTCGGTGTGCACCGTGCCGTCCAAGGCCATCCTGGCAATCTTGGCATTGCTATACTTGGGTAACTGGTTCCGTCGTTGGGTTCTCTTGGGGCATATTGGGCACAACGGCCAACCGCCGTTTTGAACAGCGTTGAACCGTGTAGACCGACTTGCCCACCCCACGCAACCGCGCGGCAGAGCACGCCCGCAGCACCCTTGCATCACCCACCGACTCCGTAGCCATTTTGGCCCTGAACAAGTTCAGTCGCGGCCCTCAGCCCTGTGCGCGGCGACGATGCAGCTTGCCGGCGCGAGCGTCGGCGCGGGGATTCCGCTCGCAGCCCACCACGGGCAGGCGGCGGCCAGAGAGGCCACGGCCTCGGCGGCCAGCGCCGCCGAGGCCAACGCCGCCGAGGCCAACGCCGCCGAGGCCAGCGCCGCCCAGGCCAGCGCCGCCGAGAGCAGCAACGGTGGCGACAGTGAACCAGAGGAGGCGGTGACCCCCCCAAGCAGCAAACGCCCTCGGCGGATCGTCGGCAAGACGCCCAGCGAGCTGTGCAGCCCGACGTACACGCCGAGCCCAGTGGACACCCCGACGCCGACGATCCCAGTCGACAAGGCGCGCCGTGGCGTTCGCGTTGGTCGGCAGCGTTTGGGGCGCGGGATCGTTATCAGATGCAGGCAGGGCGCAGTGGATGGTTGAGGAGCATTGGGGTTGGTGACCTCACAGCTCCGACCCAACGAATAGTGAGCAATACTGATGCGCCCAAACCTTCAAGTGATAACGGTCCTTGCTGCCCAAACGCTGGCGACCAAAGTCAACGCAGGAGGGTCGTCCAATGTTCATGCAGCCAGCCGACGATGACATGGTGGAACGAGTGGGCGTCCCGCCCGTCGAGTACCCGAACTACCCAGCCGTGGGAGGTCATGGCGCCGCCCCGTTGCCGACGCCGACGCCCGTCGAGAGCCAGACGCCGTCGCCCGTCGAGAGCCCGACGCCGACGCCCCTCAAGCTCGCGATCGAGGTCTCAGGGGCCACCGATGGGGAGCCGACTTCAGACAGTGAGAGTCTCCCCAACGATGACGAATTGCTGAAGCTGGGGAAGTTCATTGTTGGATTGGCCAGCGACGCGTCACGTGAGATGACGGCTGTCTGGGGTGAGACAGGCAACGTAGTTTTCCAGTGAAGTAAGTTTGGTTGTCGCGTAGTTCAGTTTGCTCAGCGCATGCTTAGGTCGCCTGTCGAGTGCTTCTTACTCGAGGTCGGCCATCTGGGGAACGCTTGCTTCCGTTTGGTAGAACAGCGACAGCATTGCTTGCGCAACCTTTCCGTTGGAAAACAAAACTGAAGTCTGAGCGCTTCGTGTATCCCCGCCAGCCCGTCCAGAAACGAGTCCCAGGGGGGTGGAGATGATGAGGGAAGCGGGGGAGCATGCAGAATCACAAAGGGCGGGGTAAGCCGCCATATACCGCAAGCGGGGGAGGACGTAGGAGGAATCGTCGCCGTCGTCGGAGTAGGAGGACGAAGAGGAGGATGAGGAGGAGGAGAAGGATGAGAAAGCTGATGAGGAGGAGATGGAGTAGGGCGATGACGTGGGGGACGAGAATGAGGAGCAAGAGAGGGAGGAGGATGAGGAGGAGAAGGAGGAGGACAAGGAGG